ATGATTTACACCCAGAGCTGGGCAGCGCTACTTTGAAATGTAGCGGCACTACCGCTACATGCTCTAATTGTAGCGGGCGCTACCGCTACCGCTACACTCACTAGATTGTAGCGAGCGCTATCGCTACCGCTACAGTAAAATGTAGCGCCGCTACATTAGCCGCTACAATGGCAAAAATTGTTGGAAATCTCCAAATATTTATTGTTCTGCTATTGGGATTTACTCATAAACATTTAATGACAATAAAACATTTTCAAAACATATAAATGCAACTTTATTGCAATTAAAATACCCAGTGATTCCCAAAGTGGGCGATGGAAAGATTTTGGGGGCGGTAAAGAAGAAGAGGGCGGTAGGAGGGCGATGAGGGGGGCGGCAGTCTTAAGTCAATATCAGAAGTTCGAACGTTTGTTTGACGATTTGTACATGTACACAACACGTGCAGCACATGACTCCCAGCGATGGTTTTTTTCACCGAGATCTGTTTTTTAATCCTCCTGGGTTTACGTCTCGGACAAATTAACGTCCGAAATCGAGGCCGGTCTCACGGCCAATTTCCAAATTCTATGATCAAGGAATATCTCTCAAACTAATGAACTAAACTCGATGAATCTTGGTACAATTGCGAGTTTTTTTATTTCACCTTCATTCGTGATATAAACAGCAATACGTGCTTAAATTCGCAGTAATCAAGAATTTTTTTTCTAAAATTCTGAACAGATTTGAACGATACTTAGTACTTAAATACCTAACCTCAGCAACGATGATGTTTACAATTTTTTCGTTTTGCCTTTGTTTGCGAGTGGTACGGTTATACGAATAAGGCTCTTGGTTAAACCGGCCGGTAGAAAATCCGGTCGTTCTTCCTATATCTGTATAGCTCGCGAACGAAAGCAAAATAGAAAAATTGTCACGAGCTAAACATCTTTGTTGAGAGGTTAGGTATTTATATACAAAGATTCCTTAAGATCTGTTCTGTAGTTTAGAATAAATTTATTGATCGCCGCGAATTGAAGTTTCAAATTACCCGGCGATACGGGCCGAATATAAGGAAATGTGAAATCAAGAATGACGGTGAAATGATAAAAAAACTCGCAAACGAAGGTAAAATCGAAAAAAATTAAGAGATAAAAAATCACCTTTTGGTAGTTAGGAATGTATATTCAAAATTGCGTTCAAATCTGTTCAATAGTTTGGAAGAAATTCTTTGATCACTGCGAATTTCGGCCTGTTTCGCAATATACGCGTAACTCACGAATGAAGGTAAAATTTAAAAAAATTACGAGCTAAACATCACAGTTAGGTTTTGATGAATATGTGCTCCAAGTTTCATAGAGCTGCGTTCATTAGTTTGGGAGATATTACTTGATAATTGAATTTGGAGATTTTTCGTGAGACCGGCCACGAGTCCGGCCGTAAATTCGCCCGAGACGTCCTAGGTTTCTAGTGCTGAAACAGTTAAAACAGCTGAAAAACGTATTGGTTCACTAAATGGGGTTCTTTTTGCGAAATACACACTTGTGTTTAAACTTTATCTTTTAAAATTGCAGCGTACAAAATTTGAAGAAAGAGGCGTATGTCTGTGGGGGGGGGGCGCTAGAAATTCACTAGTTAGCCAAAGGGGGCGCCAGCCTGAAAAAGTTTGGGAACCACTGACCTAACCGAACTAGTACGGGTTAGATACAGTAAAAAAGTTATAGTTATTTTTATGTTTTACCTTCCCTACATGGATGTGTGCTTTAATATACCAATCTAAAAAATTATCCATTTATACAAATAAAAAAGTATAACTCAGTACTCACTGCAGTGAGTACTGAGAAAAAAATATGCTATGAGAGAAAATGTGCTATGTTTAAGTTCAGAGTACCAAGAGGAGCGTGTTTGATCCTAGCTCTGTGCGCGTTTCTGGTCAGAATCGATAAGGAGGCAGGGTGGTTAAGCAAAGAAAATTTGAAGCAGTGAGTTGCGGGTTCAAGCCCGCAACAAGCTGTGGATGTTCTGCGATGTCAAGAATCGGCGACAGGCTTTACAAACGTTAAAATCGCTATATTATTTTTTTGTATTATAGTATAGTATAGTATCTTTGGCATTGATGATAGGCCTGTCGCCTATTCTTGTACTTTTCTTGACTAGACTGGCCTTTTGATCAAATCTTTCGATCAAATCGCTTCTAGATTTCAATTGTTCCGTAGGATACGAGGGAGGCATTTCAAGACTAAACATATGCTCTTGCATGGCCCATGGCCTTGTTCTTGAACGCGTTCATACTTGGAGCATCAATATCGATCAGGGAGGTTGATCCACATGTCGGTGGCTCGAAGCGAGAAAGGGAATTTATTAATTATGTACGTCATCTGTGAACCCTGACTGATGGTATACGTCAAATAGAATAAAATAAAAGTAAATGTAATATATAAAAAATATAAGTATATGAATATTTATATTTTTAATGATCTCTCAAATATAAATCATGTTAGAGATCAGCTTTTAAATATTTTATAGTCCTATTAATTATATTTACATTTGACCGTAGTAATGGATTTGGACGAAGTAAACTAAATGGCCCGCCCGCTAAAATGGGACCTAGTATATGCAAGTCAGTTGCACTGGTGCACTTCTTTAATGGTTCCTAACTTCCTACTAATAAATCTGGAGTTTTCACAAAAACTGTTTCTGGATAATGTAATAATGCATTTTTTGATGGATGTTTCCTATTTTTTTTTCTTAAATTGGGCAGAGTTACAGAGGGCTACAAATTCAATCTGGGTTCTAGAATATTGGCTAGGTTATCTTCTCAGCTTGTTTACCTTTCAAAAAACCAAGTTCAATCATTAGAGACAATGAATTCTCGAATTGGGGTTGACTTCAAATTAAAAAATAATGGGGTATAATTTTGTCTGGAGTAATCTATGAATCTTGCTTCAAAAAATATTGTAGACTTTGTTACTGCGTGGACTTAATTGCAGTAATTGGAATAACTACTACAAGATTAAGCACTAAGCAGTTATTTATACTGTCACCTGAGTCCTGACACAAGCTTGCAACCGGACATGTCTCACAGCATTACAATAGAGCAACATTATCTCAAAATCTGTGTTGAATTCAATAGGCTACCTGCAAGAACCCACCAGCATCATCATCTGACATCATCAGTGGCCTGACATCATCCGTGTGATAATAATTGAAGCCCTCATCTCCGCGGTATGCGGATTGGACTCCTGGTATCCATCTTATAACTACCGTTTCTTCTAAGCTTTGAGTTTGAGATTGATTTAGAGTTATTATCACAATTCCAAATTTTCTTGTTGTATAATATATACGTGTATTATGTACTTATTTCCACCAAAATTTCTGTATTTAATGCTTCCCATAACTTGAAAATGGATGTGGTTTCATTCAAAAAATCATTAATAAATTGAAATTACATCCTCAAACCTGCATTTTGATCAACCAACGTGGCTGAAGAATATTGTTTGACCCGGAAACTTAAAATCAATTAATTATTTGGCTTCTAACAACTGGGGTTTCATTTTTAAACAAGCCTATTTTTCCATCTTCAAAAAACAATATTGCGTCATTTGCGTGGTTATAAATGGAGATTTCTTTGTTCATTTCCTGATAAAAGTTTACCAAATCAAGCTGTCAGTTATGCAACAAGAGAAACACTAAATGCCTACAGCAGGTCAAGACAAAATCTGCCAGTTCACCATTTTGATGTTTTATATTGCTATATATTCCACGCCTGCTGTTGATGCACTTGCCTATATTGGGCAGAATTTTCTGGAAATCTTGGGTAAAAATTACCATTTCATGGGAGAATCTGAAAAAGTTATCAGCAAAGCAGTGCTGCTTGTCTCAATTTATAAAAAGTAAAAGAAAATTAGACATGCGCATTTTTATCTCATTCACCAGCACGTTTTATTTCGTTTCTCATAAACGTTTTATAAGTTTGGGCTCATTTAAAGGTCTTTGTGCGGGCCATCGTATGGCATCTTCGGAAAAATTCCTTTGCTATTCCTATTCGTGAGGTACCAGAAGCCAAAAAAGCGCCCCGAATCACCCTCTATGGGAACGGGGTAATACGGCACACTTGAAATAAAATTTAATTTTAAAACACTTGAAGCATGCAGAGCGTACTAACTCATTACTAACAGTATTACAAAAGTTTCTTCATCATTTGTAAATGATTTAGATGTCGAATAAATGACGTATTTCTGATTTGTTGGTGTTTTCCCCCTATTAATGATATAATCGTATCCATTTTTACTTAACAAAAGTTATTTTTCCCGTTTTGTACCTTTTCCCGTGTCCACTGCAAGCTTTATATCAGCAGCCGTAAAGCATTTCCTTCGTATGCTTACGGCATAGGGCTTTTAATTTTGCAACATTTTAATTGGGTCAAGTGAATTAATTCACAGTAACAAAAAAAGAGCGTGAAAACCATACCTCAAACAGAATGGAATATTTTAGTAACAACCATCATATTTGTTGGAAACAATTAATCATAGTTTAGTTTAATTATATTTCTATGTTGCCCGGTGCACAATTCTATCAATGACATTTTATGCACAATTTTATGACGCATAACATCGACTCGTCTCAGACATGAATTCGGATATGTTTCATTGTAATATCTTTCTAAGTTGTAGGTATCATCAGCTAAGGTTGTAATTATAATTACCCTGTTGCTTTACGGGCGTAGCATGAATGAACTAATAAATTCTGCCCATGGAATGATATATAAACGAAAGTAGCTTCGGCAAATTTATTGCGGTGGTGGTGAATCTTGTAATAAATGAACTAGCCGTTAAACAATAGTGATTTTTACGCTCACTCGGACTCGACTTAGTTGAGTAACAGCCAACAACAGTAGAAAAAGATAACCGTTGGAACGAATTACCGTTGCGGTTATTTCGATGATCGAATCTTAAGAAAATGATTCATGGTCTTTATTCGTGGAACAGAAATCAACGATATTTTCGTTTTCATCAATTACATTTATGTTGTATTCAAGCGCGTGAACATTGGTTTGCGCTGTAAAATTTTGGTTACGAATTGCGCAAAACAATAGGCAAAGTATTGAGCACGAGTGAGTAGATTTATTTATCGGGACTTTGAGGAAAAGTCTCAATAAGGAAAGATGTGGCCAATGAATAATTTTTCTATCGTGATTATTGTGTACACAATGGCTTCATGGTGTTATGTGTATGAGTATCCAGAAAGTCCGTTAGTTAGTTCGTCATCCGTAGGGTTGCCGCCTCACTGCTGCCGTCCGGCGCTGCGCTTCGTCATCACCTCCACAGCAAAGACCACAGAAGCGACAGCGATGCCTGCTTGATGCAAATCACAAGTCGCAGGGCAGTCTAATTTTTAATCTTAAAATTGTTTTATTTTATTGGTTATTGGCCCAGTGGTTACAGTTCAGAGTACCAAGATTGGCGCAGAGATGCGCGGGTTCGATCCCAGCTTTGTGCGCCAGTTTCTGGTCAGAATCGGCAAGGATGCCGGGCGGTTAAGCACAGCAGAATTTGAATCAGTGAGTTGAGAATTCGAGACCGCAACAATCTGTGGATGTTCTGCGATGTCAAGAATCGGCAACAGGCCTACGGCCTAATAAACGCTGGTACCGCTATTATTATATTGTTTTTATTGTGAGTCATTTTTGAATATGCTCTCCGGTTAACGTTAATAATGCTTCAAGATGATGATTAGGTTTCTAATTTAATTTAATTTAACCAAGTATTCACTGATTTGGAATAAAAGTTTTACTTATGCCATACAAAAATTGAATAATATTATTTTCTTTTGTGTAGATACTAATCATCTATTTTAAGGAGCAATGACATTCAAGTCCCCGGAAAAAAAGTAACTAAAGTTTTGTAGTAATTCAAGAGTATTTTATAGAATGATCCAGTATGTTTATATCTTTTAATGCCTCAATTATGTACAATTATTCACCTGTGAACCACGGCCGATAGTCTACGTCAAATAGACTGAATAAAAGTTAATTTAATCAACATTGTAAGCCAGTTCATCATGGCCAGTCTTAATATCTACATTATCTAACAATGATGGCAATATTTTTAGCATCTGGTAATAACAAATATTAGTATTCTGTAATTCGCGATAATTCTGGTACGCAGCGCTAATATCAAATATGCCCTCCGGCATGAGAACTCACGCCACGCGTTCGAATTTCTGACGCGCTAACAAAAGACGAGGACGGCCGTTGCAGGCAGCCTTTCTGAAGATGATACTACTATACTTGAACAAAGAATTTATTGTATTCCCGTACGCAAAAAAATAAATTTCAATGAATGTTAATTACTCTGGAATACAAGAGAATGTGGAAGTTCCATGCTGAATGCTCACAAACGAACTGAATTTGCTGACATGACTCATCGATGCCATAGCTGATAGTCCTAAAATGTCCTAACTGTCAGCGAGCGCGGTTATGTATTATGTAGTTACTTGAAGTTAGTTTTAGATAAGTTACTTTAAGTTATAAATTTTTTAGTTAAATTTGTATCGTGACTCACCGATGCCATAGACGAAAAAGATCCCAAGGAAGTCCGTAACTGTCAGAGCTCGCGATTCGCTGAGGTTGTTGTCAGTCTTCGTGCACCAGGTCGAATTCCAGGTTTTCTTCTTCAGGAGATAATCTGGCAGGCCAGTCTCGACCACACGCAAAGACCTGCCATAAGTAAAAATGCTCAGTGACAACTTATTTATTTCCATTTATTTTATTATTTTTCTTGGGCCTAAACACTTTGAAATATTTCGGAGCACACGATTCACATCAGGAAATGAAGGAAACAAATATCAGCGAAATATCAAAGCGGTTCCATTTCAAATTACCATTTCAGATTAGAGTCATTGCATAACATATTTCTGTTTAATTTGGTGTAATTGTACAATACGAAGAAAAAACTCTACTAAATAGAAATTAAAGGATCGTTGGTCATTATTATCTGTATTTACATGAGGTCCATGGCATTCTTGAGAGGCGAGTTTTTAGGATATCCAAAGGTCATGTACGAATACACCAAGTTTGATTTGACCGAAACCAGGTGACAGTCGCCGTACTGTAAACGAATATTAAAAGAATTACTACATTATTTATTAGTTATATACATATATAACTATATATATATATATTATATACATATATATAAACGAGTTTCGAGCAATAGCCGGAGAGGATTGGTAACATTACCGGACATGGGTTAGAAATCCGGACAAAATCGAGTCCGGTTATGTACCTTACAATGGGAGCACAGCCGTAGGTAACAAAATTGACTCGTAAACAGGCCATGGGCCCAACGCCAGTCATCAGCATGCAATATCTACACATAGCCTCAGATCAATGAGCTGTGGGTAACTCCGGCAAACAGTAAATCCGCATTGCACAACACAGCCACTGCTTCTCAGCGCCGGAGCGCAACAGGCCTTACCGCAACAGGCGCAGGTTAGGTTAGGCTACGTTAAGAGTAGCCTGTTGCGGTAGGGCCTGTTGCGCTCCGGCCAGTTGTGCTCCGGCCTGTATGTGCTCCGGCCTATGACTGAACTGCGCTGTTGTGGTGGGCGCTATGTGTCGAAAGCCGTGAAGATGCCCGGCTGCGTTACGCTCGGGAAGGTATATGAATCGCACTGTGGACTTATGCTATGCTGACCTCTAGCTATCCACCCTCTTACAATTAGTTAGTTTGTACCTAAAAACCGGACACGAAAATAAATGAACTACACTACCGAACATTCTAAAAAACGTCAACCTCGTTAGGTTAGCGTTAGAGTTAGGGTTACGTGTGTATAAAACCCTTTTTTAATTGCTTGATATCTTTCTACTAAGGTTAGGTTATTGGTGCTGAAATTTTGAGAAGTTCCGTGCAAGTTTTTTGAAGGAAGAATTTTCAAACATTTCATCAAAATTCTGATTTTCTCTGAGCAATATTAGGTGATGAAATTCATATTATCTGTTGAAGAAGTTTTTGTTCACCTTTGAGAAGTCATCAGCCATGAAGCTTTCGGACCACAGCGAAGGGACAACCGCTTAAATAGAAAAAGTTGCATTAAATTTGTTAAAAATTATCAATTATAATAAAGTTTCTCCCGTTAGTCAGTTAACGCACACTTATACAACCATTTCTAAAACATTCAGAAAATTTCTGTGACAAAAATGGCAAAATCTGCTGGAGTTCATGACATCTAACTGTTGACGAGCAGATATCTTGACGAGGGTAATGACCATTCATTTTTTACTCAATGTTTCAGCATCTTAATTTTTGTCATATCGACATCTCGGACCGCAATCCAATTGCATATTATCTTTAGACAACACATAATATTAACTAATATAACATAGCTTATTACATAGCATATTATTGTTATTATTATTATTATGCTATGTTTATAACATAGCATATTAACATAGCCGAGGAAACTGTACATAGACAGTTCGATTGAATATTGAGAACTTCGGTCTATTTTTAAATTAAAAGAATTTGAGCATACAGAAGTAGAGTGTATGTACAAGTTTTTTATTAACTGACTAAGTTTTCACCATAAAATTTGAAGGATAATATTTTGGTCCTCTATCGCATTGAATATGGGCCAAGTCTGCCCACAGCGCTATAGGGCAGTGGCAAATGCCAAGTGAAGCGTGATAAAAAACTAAAACTAAAATAAAAAACATTAAAAGGAATAAAAAGCTAAAATATGGGTTCTGTATGGATAAAAAATATAAAAATGGGTACTCCGTTTATAAAAAAATAAAAAGTGGGATAAAAAATATGGATAAAAAGGTGGGTCTCCATGGATAAAAAGCTAAAATTTGAGCCCATAGATCAAACCCAAGTCACCCGCAACTTTATCCATAAGGACCATGTCAAGCAAAAATTTAGACAAAGATTGCTCACTTCCAGTGTGTACATGGCAAGTGTCCTGTAACTCAATGTCCACGATATGAACTCTCTTGCAATTCTCTTCCTGACGACCTTATAAAAAAAAATTTTCACCAAGTTTAGCCACACCCAGTGTATACTATACACATTATGTGCTCCGTAATTCTATATTCACATCAACTCACCCGCAACTCGCTGTTTGAGGACCTTGTCAACAAGGTCTGCCGTCGGTGCCGGGCTACCGTCTCTTAGACCCCACAGCTTGCCCAAGACGTGATTCGGTTCGGCCTTTGCAAGCCCCTGCACGAGTTGTTCTTATTAGAGTGTAACCTCGTCCTTCCGTATGAAGATTTAATTTAATAGGAATAGTGTGTAAACTTCAAGTGCGCTTTCATATCAGTTGTGGGCACCAGATCTTAACGTCTTATAGGTAATTTTGTCATTTCATTACATATACTTATCATATAGAAATGTAGAAAAGTATAAAAATAAATAAAATCTCTAGCAAGTGCTAAATATCACGTTCAAGATTACCGGCCTGTTAAATATCAGATGGATGAGAATGAAAATTATTAAAAGGATTATTGTTTAAGAATTTTAGAGCATCGTGAAAACCACCGGGCTGACCAGGTCAACAATCAGACCTTTGTTCGATTAAAACAAAGATAGAAATGTCCTGAGTTCATTTAGGGACACCACCCATGGTGATGCTTCTTCAAGGTGGTGGAAGAACCACACCACAACATTTTAAGAGAAAAAATATTATGATCGAGAACATAACACAGCTTCGGTGGTACCTCGAGGTGGCCTTGTTCATACCTCGAGGTAAGGAGTATAGATCATGCCGGCAATCCACGTCAATTTGTAGTCCTTCTGGCTGACGAACTCCTCGTCCGAGCTGAACGGTAGTTTGATCTGCCGGTCGAGATATACGGCCATAAAAACGGCATAGATTCATAAATAAAAGTTTATTTGAAGGTAAAGATGAAATTACGAAGTTGCAGAAATCGTAGTTCATCAGTTATATTTTACAAAGATTCAGGAACAGGATGGATCGCCCTTAAATTGATGAAACCGGCACTGTTTCGCCCAGGGCAGAGATTAACGAAACTTCGCTAAGTACACGTAACTTTTCGAACTTACGTTCAAAAAGTTACGTATTGCCTAAGTCAGTCAAAATTTGGCATTAACAAAACTGTCTTACGCAAGACTCATCTGAAAAGGTATTATCGAAACCATCCAACTAACTGACCAATCAGAGGCTTCGAATTTGCCATTCCTAGCTCCTGTCGACTCAGTACGCAGTGCGCGTGGATGAAAGGAGGTTGTATTGTGTCAGCGTCATTTGCGTTGACTGACTAGGGAGCATATGGAGAAATGAGTGAGACGTTGTCTAAATAGCAATGAAAACGCCTTGATTGTAATTTTTTGCAATCAAGGCAAAAAATTACATTTTTCCCATTCAAAATTTGAGGACGTTTTAGAGAGCTACCTACAATTTAGAACATTTTGTGAGTTGGAGTTCAACACATGTACAAATTTAATTCATTAATTCACTTTTGCATTTTATAAATTGTTCACAAGATGCTGCAATTTATTCCAGGAATTAGAATTCAATTAAACGCTGCGAATGACAAATAGTTTGATACAATTACTGTGTTTACCACTCAAATGTAATATTCCACACGTTTGAAGTTACCATGTTGACGCAGAATGCTTTATTTTTTTAAACAGTCTAATTTTACTGTATTTGTCCTTAAATGATTTTATTGCGAATTTTGCAACGGTTTACACGCTAAACGAAGATTGATGTTTTTACACTAGCTTCGAAATTTGTGTTGCATTTCAATTTAAAAGTGTTGATTAATCGCTATTAACTTATAATAAACAAGCAACCCGATTAGACTGGCAATAGCTAACTTATCTTAAAGTTAAAGAAAATGTCTGTCATTTGGATAGCATCTGCATTAGCAATATAATAAAATTAATGAAACGGCCATAAGAACAAATAGGCTATGCTAATATTGATTTTTATGGTGCGTTCATATCATTAAAAAAATTTGCGATTTCGAGAAACAAGCGGAATTTTGTATAAACAAATTTTTTCTGCGATTAATGAAAGCTCGCTGATAATAAATGTGTTCTAAATATGTTACATTCAAAGTTAATGTATCTAGTTAAAGTAACTCGGTGTTGGCGATGAATCAATCCTAGTATAGGTAACATGGGGCAGCGAGCCCACTGCGGGTCATGGGCCTAAAGTGGATTTTTCGCTAAGTATGGCAGATATTGGTCCGTGTTCTCTACCGCCGGTCGACAGTTTCACTGGAATGAAGTGTACGGATTTACGTTTAGCTAAGTGTTTGCGTTATTAAGTTATTTGTGAATAACTGTTCCACACGTTTAAAATTTTTATTTGCTGCGTGCTAAATAAAACTGTTTTCGATTACTGTGGATGAAGCTTTTGAAATTACTGTGAATTATATTTGAAAGTAAAATTTATAGGGATAATTTGGAGATAAAGTTTAGACTATTAGCTTTTAAAATGAAATGTTGACACGATATAAATTGAAATGATACCTAGTGGGGCAACGGGCCCACGCGTGTCACGGGGCAAAGCGCCCATGCATGGCGAAGTCTTGTGTTATACATCATTAGATTTGACTCAATGACCTTTTCAAACTATGACTAGCTTTTTGAATTACAAATTACACTTCATATTGCATGATTTTTTTATTTGCCGCATTAAGGCAGCAGGTTTAGTTTCTAGTTATGCGTATTTATGACACATTATCGAGTTATTGACTCTTGCCTTGCCAAAAGTTGATTTCAGCCAACTCCAATGAGCCAAAAGTTGATGAGTTTTTATGTTGTTGGCTGAAATCACGATTAGGTACGAATTCTCTGCACATAATATCTGGATTATGGACGAAACTGGAACGAGGTTTTCTTTCTGATCAACTAAATATGTTTTCTCTAGTCAAGGATACATTTTTACATGTGAAGGACGAATTTTTTATCGCATGGATATATTTTTTAAGTCAAGAGTATATTTTTCGCATGGATATTTTTCACGTTAAGGATATGATTTTGACTTGTTATAAATGAATGAATGACATATTATTTATTACATC